CAGGGAAAAATGCCAGCAGAATTGCATGTAATTAACCAAAATCTATAAGCCTTGTGTTCACCGCAGGAATTTAACATTGTTGCTTTGTCCACTGATAGCTTCGGATCAAAACTGGAAGTGGTCATTAGCAGTTTTGTTGCTAGACGATATTCTCGGGATTATTGGTAGCAATCAGGCACAATTTTTAGCCATTTCTTTTTCACTTCTACATTAAAATGACTCGATTTTATGTGTTTTCTTCTCACTCCATTTCCTATGATGTGCCCTTTCCCACGTCACACAAACCAAACTGCTTTGTTTTCTCTCTCTGTCCGGTTTGCCGTTTGTACGGTGTCCTCAGCTGAGATTCAGACTTGTTCCCCTCCAGTAGTTTTGACCAAAATCCTCTGGCAAATGAAACTGGATTCTTGTTTTGCGGAGAGGACAGGAGATTGGAGAAAGGCATGAGATTGTCTTTTGGGGGGAGGTAAACGTAGGTCATCTCTTTTTGTTCCACTAATACTTACCACGTACTTGACCACAGCATAATAAATGTCTCCTCTTCACGGAGCAGTGGCTATAGTTCCTAAAGCAGTGCCATGCAGTCTAATAATTCTTGTTAATGTGTAGCTGGAATTAAAAGAAAAGGCATAAAACAAACAGCTGTATTTAGTGCAGTTGTGCCTCGGAAATGTTAATAACAAATACTCAGAAGTTCCCCCCGACCTTGCCGTTTGATCCAAGGAAATGGATAGGTAACGCACGTGCGATGTGCCGAGGAGGAATACGGCGCCAATCTGGGATTCGGTGATGTTTGCTCACGAGGCGAGGCACTCTGACAGAAAGCCACGCTCGCCTGCAGATAACTGGGCTTTCTTCTGCCCTGGCTGTGACGATGCCCACCAGGTGTGGGGTGGCTTGAGCTGTGTGTGGGTGCGAGGTGTGTGTCTGTCCGTGCGTGGGGGAACTCAGGCAGCCGCTTTGCCGAGAAAGGGTCAGAAATAAGGTAAAATGAAAACTAAAATCTCAGTGTTAGATGCCAGTCTACTGAGGTCACAGTTAAATTTACTTGCAGAGAAAGGAATTGGACATCGGTGGTGCAGTGTGTTTGGCCTGTTGATTTAGGAGCTGGTTTGTTGAAGGAGGGGGAGCAAAATAAATGCCGGTTTATAAATATATCTTCTGTATCTATTAATTAATATTTTTGCTCATGTGTTATATAAATAGACTTGTACTTTGTGCTGTGTTCTGGCAAAGGGTTATATCTAGAGAAAGATGAAAGCTGCATTTGGTGTTTCAAATAAAAACAGAGCTTAATGTCTGAATTCCTCTTTTAATGTTGGCTCACAGGGAGGGTCAACCTGTGGCCTGCAGAGCGAGCCCCTTGCTCTCTGCAGATGTTGTTCTGTGCCCACACAAAGCAGCTTAGGGGTCAAAGCCTGATTTTTATTTTATTTTTCCTTTTTTTTTTTTTTTTTTTAGGCCGAGAATAAAACACTGCAAACCAGACTAGGCAGACACAGCTCCTCTGCTTTTTTTTGCCTGGCTTTCTGAATTCAGTAGATCCCTCTGCGTTTGCTTTCCTAAGGCTGGTGGCAGAGGGACAGCAATTGGTATCACCATGCTTGTTTTCAAAACTGAAGCATTTTAGTCCCAATATAATAGATCTCACCGACTGGTCTGTTGCCCCTGAGGAACTGCAGTAGGTCTGCGATGCCTTGGACTTGCAGTGCTCGTGCAGTTGAGGAAGACAAATTGCCACCGTATTTGAAGCATGTTCGAACCTCACCACCGCAAACATGTGGCAGCACAAACTTGAATGAGGTACTGGAGCCAGAGCTCTGCATCAAGGCTGTGCCAGGATGCCTGGTTCCCAGATCCCAGCTGAATCTGCAGGGCCGGTTAAATTTTGCTATGAGGAGAATGCAAAAGTAGTTTCTAGTGGATTAATTCCATACAGGCTGTTTTTTGACAAGCTGTAAGCGACGTGTCCAGTTTAAAACAAATGGAAAAAACCCCAACAACCCAGGAGCAGTGAATTCTGGGCAGGACGTGTACTTAACGCTTAAGTTCAGTGTAGCACCACTCCTCACCTCTGGTGGTGGACTGTAATATTTTCAGGTGCATCCCACAGCAGGTTATATATGTGGACAGGAAAGCCCCTGGAAGCAAACTGGGATCCTTCCAGTGGAAAGCTGCGTAGCAGTCGCATCCAGACAAGGCTGCGGGTGCATGAGCTGCGTGCTTTTATGCAGCGGCACGCTTGGGAGTGGGAACCGAATGCAGACACTTAATGTGTAGCACCTTGTAAAACTTCTTGCTCTGTTTGTTCTTACTCTTTTGTCCTGGACAAACGGTGAAGTGCAGGCAATGTGGTTTGCAGGTGGACCTCCAAGTGCCGTGCGACCTTAGGTGGAGCTGTGTCCTCTGCACACGGGTTGTACAACACCCTGCCAGCCCTGCCTGCACCAGAAAGCCCGGGCACGGGCAAGGTGCTTGCCACTATTTTAATCACTTGGTTAACTGGCCTGCTCTGCTCCCTACAGCACTTTAAAACGCGTCAGCAACTGCTGGCGTATGGGTGACTTGCAGTCTAGACCTGGCTCCCCTTAGCATTAGTAAAGAAAATTCAGCAGCGTTGCCGATACGTCCTTGCCTTTGCCAGGAGCTATGCTGGTTTCCCCGTCTGGTGGGGCAAATGGATGGAGGAGTAGGAGAAGGTGTCAGTAATGAAACAGGCAGCGCACCGGGTGTACAGTGAAATCTCAACCCAGTATATGTGTGGGCAGTTCCTGCTGGCTCACCCGTAAACCTATAGAAAGGGGACTTCTGGGGGGACTTGTCTTTTCTGTGTTAGTCTTACCATCTCAGTTAGCACCCATCCTAATTGCTTAGGTGTGTTTGCTGAATGCTGCATCAACCAAATGCTGGAATCCTTGGTGGTGGTGGAAGGGGACGGCTCTGAGGATGTGCTGTTGGAAGTGGCACAGCATCTTGCAAACTGACATCTGCATTTATGTGGCTCCTCCCTCTTCTTTCAAATCTTCTTTTGACAGTTTATTCACAAAGAAAATGTAACTGCTACTGCATAGTCTGTGAACTGCTCGACATTTGCTAAAGGGATATTAGAGCTGTCTCGGGTCGACAATGCAGTCTAAGCAGCAGTGTTCCTGATCTCCTCCTTCTGAATCTTTGATTTTTCTGACTATTTTTTTATTGTTGGCTTTTTCTCTCTATTTTTATCTGAATAATTTTATTGACACCTTTCCTTCATCACTGCTACCCCCAACTCCCCCAGGTTTTGCCTGGAGATACAGAACCCAATACGGTGAACTTAAGCTAAATACCAAAACTCTTCCTTCTCTTGCAGCTGCTTTTGAAGGGCTCCACAGACCATTTGTCTGAAAACTGCAGTTATACATCTGTCTCTTTTGTATAAATACATATATCTTCTTAGTCTTGGCCTACATTTTATCTTTCACTGAAGTAATAAAAGACTCCATTTTGAAACAGAGGTAGTGCTTGGGGTACTGGTTTGTGTGCAGACCAGTTCTTATCATTTTTTTCTTCACTTCAGGTTGCACCAAGAGCAGGAGGAGATGGATATTTTTGCAATTCACAGCGCTGTAGACAGTGAGCGAGAGGATAAATAATATTTAGAGAGAGGTTCATCTCTTGTGAAAACAAACGCAACAAAAAAAAACCCCATCATGCTTGTAATAGGTGTTTAACTTGCTCTGCAGATGGGGCAACTGTCAGGTAAATGTCAAAACTCTCGGTTTTGGTTCCTGGATAGGGCCTGATAGTTGTGGCGTTAGTCAGCCTCCCTGCACCCCCTGAAATGTGTGACTGGTGCCAGCGTTTGCTCACTGCAGGCCTCGATTAGGCTTTTGTGTCCCAAAGAGCTCTGCAAAGAGGCGCATGTTCGCCGCCCCTCTGTTTGGTAGCTGGCCTAACCAGGGCAGGCAGCTGTGCCCCTCCAGAGCTGGGCTGGCAGGACGTATCCCAGGCGAACACCAAAGTCACCCTTTGTGAACCAGAGGTGCCTTGTAGGTGTGCTGCATGCAGAAGGACTTCCAACTGCTCGTCGCATCCTCTCTTAAGCCAGCAAAATACTCCATGCAGGCTTAATTTCTTGGCCAGTGGTTTTCCTGCTGGTGCAGCGGTCACCATGTGCGCTCACCAGCGCTGAGTGTGTGCTCTGCTGCAGTAGGCAGCTCGGAATTGGCTAGTTGCAGTGATCGTGTTCATCTTTGTGTATAATTGCCAAAAATGTCAGGGAGGTCACGTCATAGGGATGAATCTAGACCAGCCTGTATTTCCTCTCCTTTTCAGAGTTCCCTGCAAACAGGGTCTTTGTGCCTTTGGGGTGTTTGAGGAGAATGGTTCCCTCCTGAACTAAGCTTTTCTATGTGTTTTTGGTGGATTTGGCATAGCATTTGTCACTTATCGTGAACGTTGGTGTGGAGAAGTGTTCGTGGAGAAAAAGTTTGGTCTTTTTCTCTGTTTGTAGGAGTAGAAAATACAAACAATATCTCCTTACTATGGTGAAATGGCAAAGGCAGTAAATCGCAGCAAACCCAGCCCACCTTGACCTATTAATGTAGTGTAGAATATGTGTAAAACACTTCCAGTGTTGCTGCATTGGTCAGGAGCACTTTCATGGCACTGTAGGAATACATACATTACCTGATTGTGTCTCACTTGATGCAACAAGTTTAAAAAAAAAAAAAAATTAAAGAAAGAATTCATACACTCTTCAGAAAAAGATACCAGGTAATGGTTGACGTAGTTGATGTGTTGGTAACAACCCTGGGATGCTTTCCAGTGGACATGGATTAGCATCAGTGCTGAACCTTGTAAGCATTTGAGTTTTCCTCTACCTGCAGAGGGGCAGTTTGCTTAATTCCGTACAGGATCAGGAGCTGCACTGGCCTGAAATAATTTGCTTGCGGGTTTGTTTATTGGATATTTCTTTGCATGAGCTTTGCTTTCTTTTTCCCCTCTCTATGGCTGGAGAGATGCTCTCGTCATCAGTCACACCTCGGTTTGCCGCAGCATCCAGCTGCACGCGCGTGCGGGGAGAGAGGCAGAGCGGCCTGCCACCGGGCACGTCGTGCCTTGGGGCAGGAGGACTTTCTCACCCGGTGATTGCTCGACTCGCTCGACGGACTGTGCACTTACACCTCCCCAAAGCCGTCTCGGTCAGCACATCGTGCCCAGATGCAGGCAGGGGTTACAGCATGGTGTAGGACAGCTGCTTTGATGTAGTCTACCAGCCATGAAAGCTGCCACCGCCTTTGTAGCTTTTGATCCTTACGTACTGGACATGGTTCCAGTGGGACAAAACTAAAAGTCCGGGAAGTGACGACAATAACTTCATTTTAGGAATGTTTTTAATTTGAGCTGTGTAAATAAATAAAATTAATATTTCCAGCTGAATCAATTAAAAAAAAAAAATCCTCCAAGAAGTTAGGGCTGCCTTCTAATGGCAAAAAACCTGATGCATCAGTTGAATGAAAAAAAATAAATCTTGAATCCTAGTAGATTGGAAGAGAAGAGCAATCTGATGTGGTCAGATCAGGGAATGTGGCTTTTTTTTTTTTTTTCCTTCTGTTTGTAGATGCAGAAGAATTAAGAGGATTCCTCTTTTTTGCCATTAAGATGTCAACAGCAGTGGTTAGCTGCTGTTTTTTCTGCTTCTCCGTGGGCTTGAAAGCTGGCTTTTTGGGTGCTTTTTACTCTTACCTGTTACCATTTAGATCTTCTAACACTTTCTGCCCCCTCATAATTTTTCTTCACAGATAAAAATCTTGTGGGCTGTTTTTATTACTAACCTGCTCATTTTTTAAATGTCCAATTCTGTCTCTGAATCTACTGAACACTAATACATGCAAATTTATTATAATTCCACCCCAAACCCACGGTTTACTCATGGAAATTAAGTTGATACCTTGAAGTATCTAAGGGATGTAAAAATGAACCAATTTAACAGCGAAGCTGTTTCATAATCCATATAAATACATGTTTTAGAGAGCTATTTTGCAACTTATGCAGGTGTTGGCTTTTAAATATTCTAAATCTTGGTTTATTTATCCTTTTCTCTAATATTTATTTTTTCTTTTTAATAGGTCGTCACACAACGAACTAGAAAAACATAGGTAAGTCTTGAGAAAAAAGCAAATTAAAAGATGTGTGGCTGACATTAGAATTACCATGCTTACTGAAGAATGTTTTGTTGAATATTGTTTTGATTCTGCACTGAATAGTTGTTTATTAAGTTGGGGGTTTTTTATCAACTAAAATCTAATAGGTATAATATTATTTGGCTTTTTTTTCTGTAGTTTGGTATCCTATTTTTGAAACACGCCTGATAATTAGCTTTTGACTGATTAATGCCGTAACCAGTTAACCGTACTGTTACTAATACAGAACCTGATTGCAGCAACTGTTTCCTTGAGGCGTTAAACGCTATAAGTACAATCGAAGTATTTTGTGATTTGGGATGAATTTTGGGGAACAATATGTCACACAGAGTTATTCTATGTTTTTTTTAAAGTATGCCTAAAGTGCAGTTAATTTTCATCTTGCATGTAAGTACCTACAGATACGTTTTTCCCCTCGTCTGCTTCTTTGCTGGTATGTGTCCTGTCCAAAGAGCTGTGTGTGGGCTAGAAATCAGCAACTCCTGAGCTGCAGCCCTGGTTCTGTGTATCCAGCGCTGTGGAAAGCTGTACTTACTTACCAAGGACATTCATTAGACCCTAAGATCCGATTTTTAAAGGACTCATATTTGCACAGTTTTGGAGGCAGTGTTTACCGTCTATTGTATCTTGTCATAGTTTGTTTGCAGATGGGCTTTTTAGCTGTAGGAAGTCTCCTGGGGTACGCTGCTCTGAAGGTGCACATGGAGAGCTGCTGAGTGTAAAAGGTGCCCGTCTTTGCACTGGCTTTCGGTTCCCTGGCTGAGCAGTGCCGTGGTACCCTCGCTGTGGGACCGCTGCCTTTCGCTTGTCATTCAGGCAGCAGGACAAACTCTCTTTTGGGTATTTTTTTCTTCTTTTTCAGGTAGCTTGTGGTCTTTCGGGTTTCATGCATCCAAAGAAAGCAAGGGCTGTGTGTGTGAATATGACTTAAACCTATTTGCATGCTTCTAAATACATGAAATGTAGTTGATGGCACAACAAGATTGAACTCACTGGACTGGGGGTTTTTTGTGTGTTGTTCTGTGGCTGCAGTTATGTAGCAGCTAGACTATCACTTCCCTTGCATGCTTTCCTGTAGTTTAATTGTAATATGAGTAAACTATAGCCCTGCCTAATAGCCACGTGGGCATCCTAGAGATGAGAGGAACTGGGGAAGGCTCAAGCTCACAAACGCTGGCCTGGGCTGCAGAATGCAGTGCATTGGCTAAGGCGGTGAAATCAGCTGGCAGAAGTTCTGCTGACAGAGTCTTCAGGAAAATAACTTCGTGCAAAATTCTGTCCTTTGGTCAACTTATTTAAAAGAAAAAAAAAAATCTTTGGCCCCAACTTTGCTTCTTTCTCACTCACATTTATTTTCCATCCTCCTCCTAGATACTCTGTTCCATTTCTTCCTTTTCCCCTGCTCCATCATTACTGACTTGTTGTCATCCAAACTGCATATTCCTTTTTTTTTTTTTTTTCTTACAGTCATTTTTATAGCCCGAGCATGGAGTTGCCTCTTCTTCCCTCTGCTCTGCCTTAACATGTTTAAGCAGCGCAGTAAATGAGGCACAGCAGCATTTGCAGCAGATGCAGGGGCAGAAGAAGGATCTATTAATTGTTCAATCTCTGTTCTCACTTTCAGTTCTGTGTTGTATCTTTGTAGTAGCTGGACCATATAGTATTTGCCTTGCTACCTTTTCTTTCTCTGCCATCTCAAGGTCAAAATAGGTCAACTGCTTGTGATTATACAACTAATATTTGTAACTGCTGCTGCTTGCTGTACCTCCTACAGTTAGACTATACTTGAAACCAGATTTTTATTACTTCCGGTGAGAACCTGCGAATTAGTGCAAGATCCTTGTATGTGCAAATGGGTCTTCAGAACAGCAGATGAGGTTTGTACAAATCTAGTTACCTAATGTGTTGGTGTGAAGGGCTCTGGTAATTTTACTTTTTTTTTTTTTTTAACAACCCCCTCCTCCAGCACTGTGGGTGTATGAGCTGGTAATACCGATTGTACTGGTTTTCACTGTTTTACTAAAATTGCGTTAAAATCCATCAAGCATCTTGCAAAGTTTGATAGAAGATTCACAGCCATGGTGTTTCCCTGTAGCAGCTGGTTCTTGCAGCAGAGCCTGTCACTGTTCCCCCGGCGCAGCCCTGCCCTGCTGGCTGTGAAGCGCTGGATGTTGATTTTGGAGGTGTATCCTTTCCAGGACCAGCGCCTTTGACTCACCACTGCCATGATGCTTCTGGCTGAGGCACACTTGGTTATCTCACAAGAGTCCATCGAGGAGGAAGAGAGGAGATGGCTGCTCATATCCTCCTCTTTGCCCAGTCTCTCACGTGGTGTCTGTGGGCTGGACTGAGCGCTGGAGGGCAGGGAATGGCTTCCTCATTTACAGGGCCTTTGTGTCCTGGATGAGAGTGGCCAGAGCTGCCTCTAACCAGAAAGCCACGGTAGCCGTGTACTGGTACACGGTGCTGATTCAGGTTCTGCATGGGTGTTGCACTAAGAGGTTTTATCTCTGCTTTTGTTGTCAGTGGGAATGGCAGTGGTTGATCACTCTTCTGTGTGCAGACTTGGCCGTTTGGCACCACTGCTTTAATTTGCGTTTTCTACTGCTGGGTCTCTTTTCTGTGTGCTCTTGAGGGGATGCTCAGAGGAAGACAAATGCAAGCAGAGACATAATTCCAACAAAACCTCTCGTTATATGATAGAATTCAGACTATAATTATGGTAAAGTGTTTTGTCAGCAAGTCATACATAAAATTCTTCTTTCTCTACTTTAAGTCTCCCTGGAATGCCCTGCTCAGAACTTCAGTGTGTGTTCATTATAGTGAAACTCTGTAAGGACTCTTCCCTCTAATGGCAGTCCTGTTTTGGTCCTGTGTGATTAAGGTTTGCATCCCAGAGCCATGAAACAGGTAACCCCCTAAATAAGAAGCAGGGAGGCAGGAAATCTTCTGTCCTAAGGACAGATGAGGTTCTAGAAGATATTTTAATAATTACGGACAGATCAGTCAAAATGGCACTCAGATGTAACTAGTTCATAATGACAAATATATACATATATATTCATGTATATGTATTTTTTGTTATTGTTTCCAGCCAGACCATTATATCAGTAGGCTTGCACAGAGCACTGTAAATAGCAAGTACATTGGTAATCATTACTTTTTGCAAGGCAGTTTTTAAATCAGCCTAACCTGACAGCTGTTCAGAGAAATTCAATTTTTGTAGTGTAAAAAACCTAAAAAACCAAACCAAAACCAAACCAAACCAAAAAACACCAAGAATCCATGAGAGACTCAAGCTTCTTAAAAAGATACCACATAATCTCATTTATTTGCATCGATTTATACTAGTTCTACATTACAATGCAAAACCCAAGGTATATCCCCCTGAAGATTGTACTGAGATATTCACACTGCTCTGTGAAGGCAGCGAGTCATCTGCCCTCTGCTATTCGTGTGTGGACTTGTCCCCTCAGCTTGCGCAGGACTGCGGGAGGAAGCGGCGCCTCCCTGCCGAGGTCCATCCTTTCTTGCTGGAAGCAGATGGAGCCCTGACGAGGGATGCTGGGACCGACCCATCAGGGCTCCTTTGGTGACAAAGTCATTTCACTCCTGCCTGGCCGTGAGGAAGTCTGCTGTAGGAGGAGTTTAACATCTTGTCCGTTCTATGGCAAAGTCTTTCAAAACAGCTTGTGAAACGGAATGATTTTAAACAACAGCTTTTAAGAATTAGCGAGGAAATTAATAAAAGCGTGCCTCGAAATCGGCAAGCCACAGACTGCTGTCCCCAAGCTAGCACTGTGTGAGCTGAACAAGTGCCTTGGCTGAGTGACCATGGTACGGCATGATCTAGATGGACAGTTATCTCCTGCCTCTGTCAAACTGGTTTTATTATTCTCTGTTGGGTTTTCCTGTTTTGGGGTTTTTTTTTTAATCAAGAAGAGGGAAGGGGCAGATGAGCAGCGGGAAGAGTTGTCCTGCCTGCATTCCACAAAATAGTAAACTCCTGGCAAGCAGTGGGAGTATAATTAGAAGAGAGAGCAGATGAATGTCTTTGAGCAGGAGGGACTGGTGATCTTGACCATGGCGGTGCTCAGCACTGCAGCATCTGACTTGCAAGTACTCTTCTGCTTGGAGGAACTGACAGATCCCATCCCCGGTCCCCAGGTGTAGGTTAGAGAAAAGCTGGCAAGCTGAGCTGGGTGGAAGTAAAAAACAGGCATTGCTGTTGGGAGAGGTGTGCCCTGGGGGCTTGTCCCTGCTTTCCTGTGGAAGTTGCTCTGAGAAGAAGTGCACAAGTGTCTAGCTTCATCACTGGGTATTGGGAGGGACAGGGAGCAGTTCGTTCTTGTTCAGGGCTCACTGGTTTGTACTGCAGTGAGCTGAGACTGCTGTGGAGATCGCCTGGATCAGCTGAGTGGGACAGCCCTGAATTTTTAGAAGTGCAAGACCAGGATGGGGGAATACGTGAAACACAGTGACTTGCAAAACCTTTTAGAAGAAACCAAACCTTTCCATCTTCCCAAATGAGCCTAATGTATGCGTTGTTTACAGCGCTGATCAGGGGAGACTGAAAGTGTTCCCATGTGCACAGAAGGTAATGCTGATATAGGCAGTGCTTTGTATAGTCCTTAAACCTAAAATCTTGCCAGAAAAGGTTGTTATATTGCATCATCATGGGTATGAAGTAGATGCTTTACATAAATGTAGGTTTTGATGAAAAATACATATTTTGATGGGAGCATTATGATGTACAACATTAGCTGATAACATAAGTAGAGTCGGTACCTCTGAAGTTAGGTTCTAATAGTTTTCTCATGAAGGAAATGCAGATGCCAGGAGCGCAGTTACATTCATTGCTGCATTAATTTCACCCACCAGAGTTACTTGGAGTTTAAAGTTTATATAAGCTGAGAGAGTGCATAGATGGATGTCTTGAAATTCCCTCTGTGGTT